ATAATTGTGATATTGTGATTTACAAGAGAAATAAATTTGACAGTCATTCAAATGACCAAAATGCATTTCTCATATATATTTGGTCTTTCACCAGGGTTCCTGGCACAGGGCTCCCCAAACTTTGAAATTTTCTAAGCTTTCACAGTGATAAAGATGTCTTTTGTCATGTGCGTGAGGTGACTTGTGGAAATCACCTAACATTAGGAGTGATCGCCAATGGCACCATGTAATTACAGAATTAAAACTTTCATTCCAACCATGGACTCCATGGGAAAAGGGCTGAAGTTTGAACTAATCATGGATGACAGTGATTTAATCACTTGTGCCTATTTATGTGGCTGATACTGCAATCGGTCTCAAAATGTTATATATGAACTTGCATCAAGACCACTGGGCTACTTAGGATAGAGGAAGATTCTTGGGACTCTGACCTACTAAAGTTGATTGTCTAAAGAATAAGGCTCAGAGAGCTGGAATTTTAGTGGTATGTCAGGTGGAACGAGGACAGAGTGTGGATTCAGAAGGACCGAGTTTTAGATTATCCATGCCCACTGATTTGCTTCATAACACATAGTGGTCAGTCTTTAGGAGGGTCTCTTTCCTAATTTTTGATCCTAAATATGCATACATTCATTAATCAGGCTTGCTGTGCACATAACAATTTGAGCAGTGGTAGTTGCCTCCTTAACACCACCAAGCTTTTTCCACAAACCCTGACATTTCAAGCATTTTAATACTGGTTCAGGTGAAGGCACTGTCTTCGAGAGTTTTTTGAGTGTAGCATAAAAAATCCTCTGCAGTCCATCTAACCTCTTTCTAACAGATACACTCTCTATACTCCAGATGGATCTGACAGCCTTTCTGACAAACCATCCATTTCGTTTCCTGCTTCTGTATCTAAATAGTTGCAGTTTCTTTTCCTTTGCCAGAAACGCCTTCCTCCCATGTGACGACAGTCCACATGTCTTCAAGCTCACATCCATGACTCTCCCTCCTGTGTGAAACCTCTCATCACACACACACAACATTTCCTTCTTTGCCCCTAGGATGCTCTCCATTCTGGCCCGCCTCCCACTGTCACTAACAATAGTTCTATCACAACCTACTGTACTTATTTGTTTATAAAAGCTTGGTTTCTTCCAATAAACTACATATTTTTGAAGTCAAGCCCCAGACCTTTGTTCTATCACTTTCCATATTA